GTGTTGGCTTTTCACAGCCTCCCCGGTGCGGAGCATGGAAATGAAAAATTTGGTCGGGCCAGGACCAGTCCAGCGGTGAAACCTTGATCCAACAGGAGACGGTGGGGTTGGGGATGGCAGAGCGGTGTGGGCACGCAGCAAGGTGAAACACTCCCCACACCCCCCCCCAAACACACACACACTGCTTTGCAACCCTGAACCGTTCATCCCTGCTATTTTATTCTTCTTATTTTCACTCTGGATTTATTAAATGGCTGTTGCAGCTCGCCGCGGCCCCCCCGCGCCTGCTCCGCTGCCGCACAGCTGCCTCGCGTGCTGGCCAGGTGCCAGCCCCTGGCAGATGGCGCGGGGCTATTAGACGTGCTTCATTCGATTCCCTGTCCCAGCTCCCGCTATTTAATCAAATTATAGGAAAAGTCAATTTACTGGATTCTTGTTCTTCGCAGCCTCCTCCATTCCCCCGCTCTCCCCGGCCGCACGCGCTGCCCACGCACGGCTCCGGGCACCCGCTTCACCCCGGCGCTGCCCTGCGACGCCGCACAAAGCCAAAGTGCCGTGAATTTTCTTTTTCTGAGCAAGGGACGAAGGGCAGCTGCCAGCGTCTGTCAGGTTTTTCCCTTCCCCCTCTCTTTATTTTATGGTTTTTTTCTTTTTTTCTTTTTTCTTTTATTTTACGAGTTCCCCAGTCTCAGTCTGTAGCGCTGATGCCCCACAAGTTGCTTTCAGCTCCCCGTTGCCCCGCAGGGTCTGGCCACCCGCTGCCCAAGAGCTGATCGGTAGTGGGGGGCCAGGGCTGCCCCCCGGGACCCTGAACCCCCCCAAACTTTGAGGGATGCTGCTTCAAGAAGCAGAAACCGGGGCTGCCAGGGGAAAATGAAACAATATATGTAAGTGCCATCGCTGGTGATTTTCAAACCTTTTTTTTTTTTTTTAACAAAAAGACCCCTTTTATCTATAATAAAAAATCCACAATAAAATAATAAATTATTGGCATTCTGGGCAGTTACAGAAATAGCAATTTTGCCCCTTCTTGCTGGGTGAGAACAAGGGGTCGGAGGGAGCTGGCTGGGTGTGGGGAAAGAGAAACTCAGGGCAGGTTTCCTTTCCAAAGAGAGCTGGGTCTTCCATGCCCAGCCAGCCCCTGCCCCCGCCTCTGCTTTCGTGTGTATTTAAAAAAAAAAAAAAAAGAAATTATTAGCAGTTTCAGAATGAATCAATGGGGATGAAAATAAGCTGTTACAAAAGTTCTCACGTAATTTTGAGTGGCATTTCGGTTTCTTTGCGTGTTGCTTTTCTGCTCTAAAAGTAATCTTTGTGCACTGGCACAAGGTGATTTTCGGTAAGGGCTTTCCAAGATAGGTTTGGTTAATTTTAGCAGGGGAAAAAAAAAAAAAAAGTGCTTTTTCTTTTTCTTAACGTGCTGTTAAATAACGTAGCTAAATGGTGCTGCAGAAATCTGGCCAAAAGCTGTCCGAGCGCCGTGCCCTCCCGTGTGACATCTCTTCTGAGGCACTGCTCAGCCCTCAGCTTCCCCCGTGCCTCAGTTTCCCCTTGAGTGGGACGGGCTGATCCCTGTGAAGGGTTTGAGCCGAGGCCACGCTCAGGAGCAGCAGGGGCGAGCAGGTCCCGAAGCCTCACGGGTCCCCGTTGCCACCGCCCAGCCCGCGCCCTTGGGTGCGGGGTTAGCACTCAGAAACGATGGCTTTTGTGGTTACCCATAAAAAGTTATAACCGCAGAAAAAGGAACTAGAGTGGAGAGTTGAAACTTCTGCTAGCGCCGGCGTCTTCTGCAGGAGGGGGCTGCAGGGAGCCGGGTTACGGGAAGGCAGAGGGGACACGTCTGGGCGACGGTCCCCGTGCTGCTCCGTTCGGTACCGCCGCCACGAGTTCTGCCGAGCTGCTTTGGTGTGTCCCCCCCCGCCCCGGTTTCACCGTGGGACTGACTCTGTCGTCTGCAGCAATGAACAAAAGCGAAGCTGCTTGGGGTGGGGTGACCCACAGGGAGGATCTGGGGCCGTAAGAGTGGCCGAGCACTTCTCGTCAACCCCTTTCCTACCCTACAGGTGTATCCATCCAACTCAGGTGATGACTACAGCAGGGATCCAGCTGGATATACTCCCTCAAAACCTCCCAGCACTGTGTATCCCGGAGCCTTTTATATGGCAGGTGAGTTATTAACATCCCCAGCGCCCTGCAGGCCAGCCAGAGCAGGGGCTGCCTGGCCCTTTGAGGAGGAATTGCACAGCACGTGAGATGGAGGGAGCTCGGGGCAGGAGCATGTGAGACATAAACCAGCCCCAAAGTGGCTCTGATTTGCTCGGTGGGTGATGGTCAGCATAGGCAGGACGCGGTGGGCACAGATGCAGCCTCCAGCCCGGGCTGACCTGCCCCTGTGTGGGACACGTGCCGCTGTCTCTGCCCTGCTCAGCTCTGGTTTTCCTTCCAGACGGGCTCCACAACTCGCCAGACCTGTGGAGTTCACCGGGTGCTATGAGCCAGTCGAGTTACGGTGCCATGCTGGGCAGCTCCTCCTCCCCGCTCCCACAGTCCAGTGGCTTCAACAGTTTACATCAGCACGAACGCATGGTAACGCGTCCCCACGCTGCCCCGCGGGCGGGCTGGGGGGCTCTGCTTGCCTGGTGCCACGTCACCTCGTCCCGTAGCTGTGGGCTTGGGGCGGCTGCCAGCGGGGAGGACCTGGGTCCTGGCCCAGACGCCGAAGCCCAGCAGCCTTTCGAGGGCACCTCTCACCCCTCTTCCCCTCTCTGCCAGAACTACCAGCTTCATTCAGGAGAGGTTAACGGCGGACTCCCCTCCGTGTCTGGCTTTTCCTCTGCCTCCACGCCGTACGGGGTCTCCAGTCACACGCCCCCCATCAGCGGGACGGACAGCATGATGGGTACGTGTGGCCCCGGGGTGCGTGGTGGTCCCCAGCATCACCCCCTCGCTCCACTGCTTAACTGGAAAATCAGTCTTGTGCGAACCTCTGATGCCCGAGGCTGTAATACCTCTGTCCAAGGCACCCGGATGCTTTTTATCCCTTGTGTGTCACCTGTGCATGGAGTTACCGCGTGAGGAAGAAGCGTGGCGAGGTTATTGCTGCGGGGTACCCGGGAAAGGGGACAGGGAGCTGGCCTGGGGGTTTACAACCTCTCTTGGTGGATCTGGGAGGTGACCAGAATCTGTGACATTATCTCTTGGAGGTGCCGTGGCTTAAATGAGTTGCAGGAAGGATTTGCACCTGCATTGCGGGAAGGCGGGGGTATGTGTGAAGCTGTTCATCTAAATCTGGAATAGGAAAGTTTGTGCTGCATTTGGATACCATGTTTAACCCCCAAGTGCTTGAATCTCGTACCCTGCTGAACCTGTTACAAAACCTGTTACTGAAGTGAACTCATGTTCCCCAGGAACTGGGGATCCTGACCTTGATTTGTAGAAAACCCCTTATTTAGAGGAGGGGGGAAGCAAGTTCATGATTGTAGGGGCTTAAGGTGCCCCGTGAAAATGGGCCGTGCTGCAGCAGAGACAGTCCATCGCTGTTGACGACACGACGGCTGCGACCCAACCTCTGATAAAGGTGTTCCTGCAGCCCGGTGAAAGCTGCTGGGGTGTTCGTGCCCTCGTCTGGGCTGCTCTGAGCTGGGCATCCGTTTAATTTTCAAGCGAAGCAGTAAGAACAAGAAATTTCGGTCTCGGAGCAGGTGATCCCAGAGAAGGTGGTGTCCTGGTGCCTTGTCCTGATGGGTTTCTGGCACCGTGGCAGTGACCTCTGTGTCCTCTCTCGGCAGGTAACAGAGGAACCACAGCTGGGAGCTCGGGAGACGCGCTCGGGAAGGCACTAGCTTCAGTAAGAGTTTCTGCAGATCCTTGGCCTGGTCCCCATCCTGTTGCAGTGTTGGACCTTCCCTCTGTAACAGGGACCCCCTAGGCAGCAGGGAAGATGGACACGCAGAAGAGTTCGGGTGAACGCACCCAAAAAACCACCGCAGCCTCCGAGACGAGGGTTTTCCCCCCTCTCTGTGCCATCCTAAGTCCCGGTGCTGTGCAGAAGCACCTTGTGGCAGATGGGGAAACTGAGGCACTGGACGTTACGGTGGCCCTGCAGACCCATGCCCATGAGCCAGCTCAGCGGCCGCCCAACCTGGTCCCACTCTGGCAAGACGACCCTACGCAGCCCTCGCAGCAGGACTTGCATGTCCCAGTAGTCCTGGGCCTGCGTTTGCTGGTCCAGACTGGAGGGCACTGGTTGCACTGGGCTATCAGGGCTCGGGGTTGCCTCTTTCCCATTCAGTGCAGGTATCTTTGCTGCTAGGTGGTAGCAGGGGGGTGCCAGCACTGCACCCTGCAATAATTTCTTGGGGTTCTCGCTTCCCTCCGAGGTGGGGCTGTAGCTGCAGGGGTGGCAGCAGCGGGGACAGAGACCCGGGTGTCAGGGGGGAGAT